CTAGTCAGCCCCAAGGTAACTCCCCATCCTTTCCTCCCTCTCCTTCCCCAGTCAGCCCCAGATCTCTTGCTCCTTCCTTCCCCTCCCCAACTTAGAGCCCTCCGCATAGGCCTGGTCCACCTGAGCACAGCCACAAAGATCCTGTCCTTTGTAAAAGGAGCTGGGCTGTGTTGGAGATGGGTTTCTCCAAAAAAGCAGTGGCTCCTCTCACAAACATCAGGATCTGGGTGAAAGCTCCCCAAATCAGAATCTTCATTACAGGCGACAGTGTATCACGGCATATCAACAGAGTGCTGTATCATTCCCTTGTCTTTCTCATTTTCAGCTCTAAAGCTTCTGTGGGGGAAAAAAATAATCTTTTGTTCTACAAGGCCAACATCAAGCTCATATTTCGATGGCTCAGGGAAAATGATAAGCTTGGAAATAACAATGACCTATTTCATGTCTTGATGAAATAATTTCCTCTCTCTGTCATTTTCTCAAAGAATAATATTTGACTAGTGCAAGGGCATAAGATAGGGTGGATGCTTTTCTTCATACCAACTGATAATGGGCCAAATTCAGCAGAGGAGTGCAACTCCGCTGACTTTAGTGGATTTAAGCCTGCTTACAGCACAGACCAGTATTTTTAAAACTAGATTTTAATACACGTGAAGTACTTGTAATTCAATTGCTGTAGCACAGAGGTTTCAATTTCGTGAATCAAATTATTTATATATTCCTGAACAAATCCTACACACTAATGTCCCTCTAGCCCCACTGTAACTGCTATCACTGACAGCCTCTTTGATTTGCTATCGTGATGCAATTATTTAACCAGTACTCCCCCACTGCACAACAGTCAGCTTGATCCTCCCCTTTAACAAAAGGCTACTGTATTCAACAGGGTACATCACAATATAATGCAACCATGCAGCTCTGAATTCACATGGCCCCTACTCTGAAGCACAGGAACAATACAAGCAATTATGGTTGTCTATCTGGATCCTTTAGTTCAGTAAATAGACCATATTTCTTTGCTGACAGTGTTTAAAAATGTAGCCATGGCATTTTTACTTGCAGTATACAGTATTTTCATTAAGTGCTTTTACATCAATCTTTAATTATTTTCAGCACAAGTAAAATAGCTATTGTCATCTGTTTTTCCTCTGGGAATATATCAACTAGTGTCTCGTTTCCCATATACAGGAGCTTTCCCCTGCCTTTGACTGTTCACCCTCACTGTTGATAACATCTCTTAATAGCACTGGTATGGGACACAACTTTGGGACATTTGTCATGGGAGATAAAACAGGGACATCTAATAGGTGTCACCAGTGCCCTCAGCCAGGTCATTTCTCACCCTGGCATTAAAGATTTCAGCATGTGTTCATTTGCCCACAGCTGGTGCATTGCTATTTGCACCCGCAAATGATGGGAATTCATCTGCTGTCATGAATACAACATGTCATGGTACATTGGCCAAGATGACCAATCTATGCTGCATACCTCATTTCACCAATCCTGCTCATTTTCAAACAGCTCCTGGGATGGCTTATTTTAAGGAACACTGTCAAAATTAAAATCAATTTTGCAATAAAACAACCTTTACCCAAATTATTGAAATCTAATTTTAGTTCTCTGTTTGCTTTCTTTGTGAGTGAATCTACACTTGTCTGTTTAGTTTGTTTCACTATTTCTCCATGGTAGAATGTTTCATTACGTTTTTAATGTTGGAGATGCTTACCCTGTGGTGTTTGGAAGCAGAAACCCAGCATAAGGGGAAAGGGCAGAGAACAGCTTTAAACTCTGAGAGGAAGACTATGGCTGACAACTCTCTCCTCAGGCACATTGGACATTTCTATTAAAAGGATAAATAAAGCTCCACAGTGCAGGAGATAGAGGGTTTTTTGGGGGGGTGGGGGGGTGGGCAGCTCACCTAAGACTCTGGAATGAACTCCCCCTGGAAGCTAAAAACCATCGTCTGCTCTAAATGCAAGATGCATTTCTCTGACCTTGTATTCTCTATAGGGCTATCAAGCGATTAAAAAAATTAATCGTGATTAATCATGCGATTAATTGTACTGCTAAACAATAGAAAACCATTTATTTTAAATATTTTTGGATGTTTACAACATTTTTCAAATATATTTATTTCAATTACAACACAGAATACAAAGTGTACAGTGCTCACTTTATATTTATTTTTTATTACAAATATTTGCACTGTAAAAAACAAAAAAAATGTATTTTTCAATTCACCTCATACAAGTACTGTAGTGCAATCTCTTTATCATGAAAGTTGAACTTACAAATGTAGAGTTATGTACAAAAAAAACCCTGCATTCAAAAATAAAAAAGTGTAAAACTTTAGAGCCTACAAGTCTACTCAGTCCTACTTCTTGTGGACCAATCGCTCAGACAAACAAGGTTGGTTACAATTTGTAGGAGATAATGCTGCATGCTTCTTGTTTACAATGTCACCTGAAAGTGAGAACAGGTGTTTGCATGGCATTGTAGCTGGAGTTGCAAGAAATTTATGTGCCAGATGTGCTAAAGATTCATATGTCCCTTCATGCTTCAATCACCATTCCCGAGGACATGCTTCCATGCTGATGATAGGTTCTGCTTGATAGCGATCCAAAGCAGTGCGGACTGACGCATGTTCATTTTCATCATCTGAGTCAGATGCCACCAGCAGAAGGCTGATTTTCTTTTTTGGTGGTTTGGGTTCTCTAGTTTCCGCATCAAAGTGTTGCCCTTTTAAGACTTCTAAAAGCATGCTCCACACCTCATCCCTCTCAGATTTTGGAAGGCAGTTCAGATTCTTAAACCTTGGGTCCAGTGCTGTAGCTATTTTTGGAAATCTCACATTGGTACCTTCTTTGTGTTTTGTTAAATCTGCTGTGAAAGTGTTCTTAAAACGAACATGTGCTGGGTTATCATCTGAGACTGCTATAATATGAAATATATGCAGAATGCAGGTAAAACAGAGCAGGAGACACAATTCTTTCCCCCGAGGAGTACAGTCACAAATTTAATTGACACATTTTTTTTAACAAGTATAATCAGCATGGAAGCATGTCCTCTGGAATGGTGGCCAGAGCATGAAGGGGCATATGAATGTTTAGCATATCTGGCATGTAAATATCTTGTAACGCCAGCTACAAAAGTGGCATGCCAACACCTGTTCTCACTTTCAGGTGACACTGTAAATAAGAAGCAGGCAGCAGTATCTCCCATCAATGTAAACAAACTTGTTTGTCTTAGCGATTGGCAGAATAAGAAGTAGGACTGAGTGGACTTGTAGGCTCTAAAGTTTTACTCTGTTTTGTTTCTGAATGCAGTTATGTAACCAAAAATAATCTGCATTTGTAAGTAACACTTTCATAATAAAAAGATTGCACTTCAGTACTTGTAGGTGAATTGAAAAATGCTATTTATTTTGTTTATCATTTTTACAGTGCATCTATTTGTAATAAATAATAATAATATAAAGTGAGCACTGTGCACTTTATATTCTGTGTTGTAATTGAAATCAATATTGAAAATTTAGAAAAACATCCAAAAATATTTAATAAATTTCAATTGGTATTCTATTTTTTAATCACAATTAATTTTTGAGTTCATTGCGTGAGTTAACTGCGATTAATCGACAGCCCTAATTCTCTAACATAAACTTATATCACTATGTATATTTAAAAACAAAAAAACTACTCTAACACCACATGGTGCACACAACTTTCCATCCAGGGAAAGAGTGAGAGAAAGAACTAACCACACATGACAGATGTTGCTTAATGTACTATTGGAAAGTGCTCAGATGAAGTGGTGATAGGATGGTATAAGAACCTATCTAAAACAGAGCACACCTCTGGTTCTGTGATCTCTTCCTCCATACTGCCAAACCTTAGCCTGAAATAGTAGCAAAGTGTCTGTCTAGATTAGAAAGAAATGGTGCTTTTCTAAAACTTGAGTTAGCTAAAGTGACTTGAAACATCACTCAGCACCTTGTGTAGACACGGATTAACACTTTGAAGATCATGTTGTAACCCCAGGGGGAGCCCGTGATCTGGTGACACTGTTTTAAAGGTGTTAAAACTCAAATATCCCAGTTTATTCCTTTCACAGATGGAAGCATATCAAGTAGTCATTACTCCGTGCTCTTGTATTGTATATGCAAAGTACAAATACAATTAAGAGAACTTCCCCAGTAAAAATATACCTTGTATTAACCCTATTGTTTTTGACATTGCCCTAAATGTAACCAGAGAGACAGAGAAACACGGATGGAAAAATCAAATAATACTGTTCCTTTTATGTAGCCTTTAGCTGTGCTCAAATAAATTTCTTCTCGTATTATGTCTCATTAATACTGATAAATTAGCTCCGGAAACTTTGTTTCCCTCTGTGAAATAGCCAGAGCTTTGACAAGATTAGACAGTTTTACAGAGGGGGTGGAGGGAAGGGGACAGCGTGGAATGAGGAGAAAAAATAGCCAGTGGGAGGGAAGGTGAGGAAGAAGATAGAGAGGTGTCATGTGGGGGTTGGAGGGAGTAGGAGTCGGGAGACAGGCTATGGAAAGGGGCCTGGCCTGGGAGACAAGGTCACTCAGAGTAGAGAGAGGGAAGCGGGAGGAGAGCAAAGAGCGAGGCAGGAACGGGGGAAGAGGGCAAAGCACTGGAGGCGGGAGGAGGAGGATCACTGTCAAGCGGGAGGAAGGAGCCGGGATGGACGGAACAGCCTGGGGCAGGGCAGGCGGAGAAGTGGCCGCTTCCAGTCAATAATCGCGGCGCGGATTGTTTCAGCGTTCGAAGGGGAAGCGATTTGGCCAATGAGAAGCGGCCCAGCCACTGCCAGGGCCCCACGTCTCCGCAGAGGTTCTTGCCGCCGCCGGGCTCCTTCTTCTCCAGTGGCCGCCGCGGTGGGCGGGCGAGGGGCGGCGGGGAGCGCTGTAGCGCCGCCTGTCGGGCAGCCCCTAGCGCCGGACTCCTCCCCCTGCCGCCGGCTGCCAGTGCATCATCGTGTCCTGTGGAGGCGGAGAGCCGGGGCTGGAGGCTCCTCAGTGTGCGGCGAGGCGAGTGCAGCGCGCATAGGGCTCCCGCTGCTGCCGCCACCCCCGTGCTCCGGGAAGGCCGGGATCGCGCCCCTTCAGTCCCGCCGCTGGAGCTGGCTGCTGTTCCGCCCCTCCAGCCTCTCGCCGGGGCGATCTGAGCGGCGGGCAGCCGGGAAGCGGCTCAGGCGGCACCGCGCTGGCTCGGAGGAGCAGGAGCTGCCCCGGGCGCCCCGCACCGGCTGCTGGCGGGAGGATCTGGAGCCAGAGGAGACCGGCGAGGGGGAACTCGGCTCCCCGCCGGAGGAGCTGCGCGGCAGGGGCGGCGGACCCTGAAGGAGCAGGACACCCCCGTACCCAGGCCGGGCGCTGAGCCCCTCGCACCCCAGCCCAGTGGCTCTGATCCCCGCTCCGCAGAGCTCTCCTTCGCCGGTGCCAGGCGGATGCCGCCGCAGCAGGAGGGGGAGGCGGGCTACATCAGCAAGCCGCTGGCTGGCGGCTGCGAGGTGCCCCCGGTGCCCCCGCGCAGGGTCCGCAGCAGCCGGGCGGCGGCGCTGGGAGCGGCCCTGGGCAGCAGATGCCGGGCCGGGGCGGGAGCCGAGCCGCGTCGCAGCATTAAGTGTGTCCTGGTGGGGGACGGGGCTGTGGGCAAGACCAGCCTGGTGGTGAGTTACACCACGAATGGGTACCCCACGGAGTACATCCCCACCGCCTTCGACAACTTCTCCGGTAAGGGGCCGCTGCAGGGGGAGGGAGGTGGCGAGACGAGCGTGGGGGCAGGTGGAAGGGGGGATTTCCTGGGGGACACCCCGCAACACTGGCGACCTGCTTGGGGATCTCCCATCCACCTCTCGGAGATGAACTGTCAGAGGGAAGGGGGAATACCCCTCTGCCCCCCCCCCCCCCCCGCGAGGGAGCTGCATGGATTTCCCTCTTCAGGGAGAAGTGAAATGGCCTGGCACTGGTGAAAGAGGGAATTCTCCCCCCCCCCCTCCTCCCCCGCAGGTGGGGAAGGGAGCTGCCATAGGGCAGGCGAAAGGCCCATCCCCCAACGCTCGGGGGCAAACATCACCACCCATCGCCCCTTCTTCTCAGTGATGAATGCATGTTGGCCCATATTGTTAGCATGTAGCTTTTCTAGCTCTGTGCTTGTTCAGTGCCCATATTTTACAGCTGTGTTCAGCCCTGCGCCCGGATAGGACTTTGCTTGGTTTTTTTTTTAAAAGGATTGTACTTTAGATCATGTTGGAAATATCAGTGTGTCACACCCTGCCTCCTTTAGTTGGGTTCTGGGGGCGGGGGGAGGGAGTAAATCCTTCATCTCCTCCCCTCTGTTTGTTCAGAACTGTGTTGGAAGGTGGCTGCAGAGATGGATGGGGCTCTTGAAACTGCATCCTGCCTTCTGAATTCTTTCAATTATATATCTTTGTCACTCTCTGAAAGTTTTAATAAGACTGTAGAGCCACATGAGGGTATTAAATATATGACTCTCTAGTCTTTCTACGCTTAAGTCCTGTGAGGTCTGCTGTGCTGGAGACGATTAGCTTCCTGGCACAAATCTGGGTGTCGAGCTTCAATATTAGGTTTTTTAATTTTCATAGAGTTGATCCAAACGGTCCCTTTCTGGGTGTGCTTTATGTATGATTAGTAGCTAGAATTCTAGCTTTAAAGGTAATGTAATCATTCTAAATGCTGGAAGATTGATTGGATGGCATGACTTCTCGGTATTATTGAAAATCAATACTGTGAAGCCTAGTGACCAAATAATAAATGAAACCTACACTATGGCTAAAAGCATTTTATATTTAAATAGCAAAAAAAAATAATAATGAGGCTGGTCTGTTTTATAAAAGATACCACCGTAGCCAGTGTTTGCACATGGTCACATATCAAGCTAGCTTGTTTTTAATGGCAAATTCTGTAGTCAAAATTTCCAGTCGTGCAAGAAGAGGAGCTTCCCAATGGAAAACACAAATATTTGCATTGTCTTCCCAGTGATTTAAAACTGGGAAGGTTTTTTTGGGCCAGAGCTTTGAAAACACAAACGTGACAAGAAAACAAATCCTCAGTAACAAGAGAAGTAACCTAATTGTTTGGATCATTCTCTTTTTGTGTCATCAAAGAGTTTTAGTTCAGTGATTTGCTACTTCATCAGCAGCAGTGAAATGAATTGGAAAGCCCTGAAGGGTTTGTATGTGCCTAAATGTTAGTGACAGACAGACTTGGTTCCAGTTCTTCAAGTCATTAAATTAATTGAAGGGAAAACAAATGTTGAGGGAAGGCATGATTCTTTTTTCTTCTCTTTTTTTTTTTTTTTTTTTAATGAAAAATGTGTAAAGTCGAACTCATTACACTTTTTTCTTCTCCTAAGCTGTTGTGTCTGTTGATGGCAGACCCGTGAGACTTCAGCTCTGTGACACGGCTGGTCAGGTCAGTGAAGCTTCTTATTTCATTTAAGTGATGGGGGGAAGGGAGAAGTGTCACACAAAATAGTCTTCCTAAAGACTTTATGCATTTAAAAGGATATCCATTGTTTGATCATCTTATTAAATTTCCATCAGAGTAAGTAATTCTTAACCCACTGTATAAGGTTGGTTGAGGAGTGTCATGTTGTTGGTTCAGACTGCTTCCCTGCTAACTTCACTGTCAGGTTGAATTCCCAGGGACTGTAAGTTCTCCCTCAGATGTGTTGCCACTGACTTAATTTTATTTTTTTAATTATCTATAGGTTTAAAAGTGCTGCTGCTGGGGGAGTGGAGGGAGGATTCTGTATGTTTTGAGCACAGATACGAAGGCATGTGAAGGGTGTGGACAACTATTTTTATTGAGGGGGTCTGGAAATTCTAAAAAAACCCTGTTGAAGATCCATTTCATGAGTAGTTTTGTACCATGATTACATTTGTCAACTCTTACTAAGATCAGATAAACGAGCTTCATTCTTAACTCAGTGCTTCCAGTATTAAGAACAGTATTAAGAATCAGAGGGGTAGCTGTGTTAGTCTGGATCTGTAAAAAGCAACAGAGAGTCCTGTGGCACCTTTAAGACTAACAGATGTATTGGAGCATAAGCTTTGTCGGATTCATCCAGCCAAATTTGCATCCAGCCAAATAATGCAATACCATCTGAGGGAGCCAAGCATTAGCGAAAGCAGTGTGAGGAGAGTATGATGGCATCAGTAGACAAACCCCATTATCCTAATGAGCAGTGTTGTAGCTGGGCATTATAACAAAGATGTGAACTCAACTCGGTTCAGTACTGGCTTATACCCTGTGCAGTGCCAGCACTGCATTTTGCCTATACTTTTGGCAGTTCTAACCCAGGTTAAAAGAGTACAGAGCAGCCCCCTATGAACAATAATATGAGATGGGCCAGTAGGGTTGTCCCATAATGTAATACCCTGATGGAGGGCAAGGGGGCAGGGCAACACGCTGTTAGCTTCAGCTGAGATGTGAATTCAGAAGCAGAGCGTACCAGATGTAATTGTAACGATATCCTTGGTGATGGGGCCCCATGGAACGGCAAAAGCATTGGTAAGATTTGAAAAGTCCAGTCACTTTTTGCTTTGGTTACTGCTATTAGTTCAGGAGTGTAAAAACTCCTTAGTGAAATAACCAGTGAAACCGCTCTCTTGTGTTTGCCTTTAAAAGGAATGGGTTGGGTGAAAACCAGTAAAATGAAGAAAATCATTCTGAGTATAGGATGCTTAATCAAATAAAATCTTGGTTGTGTGTGTGTGACAGCTTCAAAATGGGATTAGCATTTAAATAGGTAAATACATACAGAAACATTGAGGGTTTGGTGTCATGAGCCCAAAGGTGCAGCTCTGCAGTCCCGGGATCTAGCAGTGAGACAAAGAATGTCTGCAGACTGTACTTGTAATATAAATGACCATGCATCCTCTCTACAGAAATCTCCCTTAAGATCTGGTTTTGCCTTTTGAAACCATTGAATCCTGCAAAATTTCATAATGCCTTGCAAGAACATGGGGAGATGTCTTTTTTAATTGGATTCGTTGCTGCACAATACAGAACACTTTGTAAAGACAGGGTTTCTTTTAAGCCAAATGGTGAGAATCCTGCATTGCTGTCTTGCTGCCTGAGAGGTTTAATCTGAGAATCAAGAGAACTAATGAAGCCTGCTTTCTTGACTCTTGTTTTATAACCTGTTGTCAACCTTTGCATTACCACTGAAAGAAATTTATTTAAGTGGAATGGGACTTCTGAGGCTTTTAATGGGCTTTAAACAACTGCATATCCTAGACTCTTCAGAAGCTTTCAAGTAAAATCTTAAATCCCGACAAATTAACATGTAACTTGCAATTCAGCAGTAAAATATTGTTCCTAGAGAGGCATTGTTGACTTTATTTGCTCTTTGCTCTTCTTAATTTAAGGCCCTGTGAGAGCATGGTGAATTTTAATTAAAATGTCATCATGGCTGAACCAAATCCTACCTGTTTAGGCTGTTAGTGTTACTGTGCTTTTATCCTGCTGTCAGCATAAAATCAGGCTATGCATAGTTAATCCTTGCCTCATTTTGCATTCTTCACTTGCAGTTCTTTGAGCTGCTGCGATAAGTGAGAATGCCATGATGGCCAAGTCTTCTGTTACCTTTTAGGTGTCATCTACATCAGTGGTTTCAACCTTTTTTCATTTGTGGATCCCTAAATAATGTTGAAAGGAGGTGCAGACGCCTTTGGAAATCTTAGACCTAGATCTGTGGACCACAGGTTGAAAACCACTGATCTACATTATGTTAGTTGATTCCTCAAGATAAAAATCAGAGCCTTGCATTGTAGATCTTTATTTTAAAGATGGGAAAGAGAGAGAGGGAAAAAAATTTCATTAAGTGTGATGGTAGCAAGAAAAATGAACACAAAATAGTAGGGAAGTCATCTTTTATTTTAATTTCCTGTAGGTTGCTATTGAACCTTCATTTATTTAAGATGATTCTTGCGAGGGAACACTTGCCAGCCGCATTGTCCCAGTGCTCTTGTCTGTATCTCAACATATGGATAGTGTGGTCAGCATTGCGGTTGGGGGGGGGGGGGAGGGAGGTGCATTTTAAATCTGAGCTGATCCATGATTGAGCTCTGTTAAAGGTGAATTTACACCCTCCCTCTCACCCCCTATTTACTGCGTGTTCATCACCTGTGTATCTTAGCCTGCACTCCACTCTACAGTCTGGCTCTTCTGTTGAGTTACGGCAGAAGGGCATAAATACAAACACCCAAGGAAGGCTTAAAGCAGTCAAAAGAAATCAGCAGTGTTAGAGAATCTTAAATACCTTAAGAAGATATTGTTTGGCCCTGTGCCCATGGAGTTGATGGCAAAATTTCAGTTGACTTCCATGTTGCAGGATGAAGCAGATATTTGGCATATTTATGGCTTCTTCTATGAAAACACCATGTTCTATTGTACACAAGTTACATTTGTGCCTATGTGAGAAGAACAGTTAAACTTGATCCTTTCTTTATTCATTCAGTAGTTCAAATCTCTATAATGGGAAGTATTTAGGAACTGGTAAGGGTGGTACCTTTATAATTTTTAATGCTATTTTTTATTCAGCAGTAATGTTGCTTTGCTTTGCGCAGGATGAATTTGACAAGCTTAGACCATTGTGCTACACCAACACAGACATCTTCTTGCTGTGCTTCAGTGTTGTGAGCCCTTCCTCCTTCCAGAACGTGAGTGAAAAGTGGGTTCCTGAAATACGATGCCACTGCCCCAAAGCTCCTATTATTCTGGTTGGGACACAGTCGGACCTCCGAGAGGATGTCAAAGTTCTCATTGAGCTGGACAAGTGCAAAGAAAAGCCTGTTGCAGAAGAGGCCGCAAAGCTCTGTGCTGAGGAAATAAAAGCAGCGTCTTACATCGAGTGCTCAGCTTTGACTCAGAAAAATCTCAAAGAGGTCTTTGACGCGGCCATTGTCGCTGGCATTCAGTACTCGGATACCCAGCACCAACCAAAGAAATCCAAGTGCAGGACTCCAGACAAAATGAAAAACCTCTCCAAATCTTGGTGGAAAAAGTATTGTTGTTTTGTATAGTATTTGCAAGGACCTAAATGTTGCTCTAGTGAAATCAGATAGAAGCTATATTAGCTTAAATCTCACTCTGTATTCTCCAAGTGTGTAGCATAGATCCACAAGTGTGTATATGTTGCTATTAGAAATCTCAATTTCCCTTTCTCTTTTGAGGGAGATGGAAGAACACGTAGGTAGGAAGTTCCTGTTAAATCAGGTTAAGGAATTTCAGCTTTCGCCTGTCTGATGTCAGAGTTTCCGGACTAGTCTCACGTTAAGGAATACATTTGTGACATTAGAAATTGTACAACGGCTTTGACTTTCTATATCATAATGTATATAAAAGAGGGAGGAACAAAACCGAGGCCTTTGCGGATAGGGCTATTTAGAAGAAACAAAGGACTATGGAAATATAGAGCTCTATATAGATGGACAATTTTTAAAAACTTAACATTGTGCCTCCAAAATGACATTTTAGCTTTAAAAATATACTCCCTCTTTCCCCCATCTCCTTCCCTCAACCACTTCAGGGGGGACTTTAACAGTGTGGAACAAGAGGTGGAGTCTTCCCCCAAATGCTGCTGCTTGAAAGGTCATGCATATACCTCCAGCCAGGGCCGGCTTTAGGCCAATTCCCTCGAATTGGGCCCCGCGCCTAAGAGGGCCCCGCGCTCTGGGTCTTCGGTGGCACTTCGGCGGCGGGCCCCGCACTTCCTAAAGCCAGCCCTGCTTCCAGCACGTTGTTAGACTGCCTAACACGTTAAGTAACTGACGTAATTACATCTTATTTGTAGCCTCCTGACTTGGAAATCCTTTTTTCCCTCTTTCTCTCTCTTTCACATGCAGTAATGTGAACGCCCAATGAACATTACAAAGTCCTACTTTGTTACATTTTGAATAGTTGTGGGTGCCTTTGTATTTATACAGACACCATGACAGTTCATTTAGATCAATTGAAAGAATGTAAATGCTGTTTTTTAAAAGGGATGCAACAAATGTCCATATAGCACCACACAAAATGTATCTGTTTTAAGCCTACAAATATGAACTTCAGAATGTTCCTCGTTGAGAGATTTTCATGCTGCCAGTTAAATGAAAGGCCTATAAAAAAGGCAGATTACGTGCCATAACCAAACACCAGAAAAGTGATACTTCTGTGTCCTGTTTCTGATGCTGTTTTGAATAAAGTTCGTATTTGTTTCCAAAGGAAGCAGTTGTTGGTGGCTTAAACTTGTCTTAGATTATAGTCGCAAAATTGTGTTGAAACAACCAGTGAAATTTAACTGATTCTTTCCCAGATACCTTCAACAAATTAAAGTGAAGTGTGTTTAAAATGTCATTTAGTAGTTTGTCTATTCAAATATGCATCAAATGTGACAATTTTTGGTCTAACAAAACCTGCTGAATTCCAGTCTGCTTTGTTTTAGGGTATCAGTGGGTTAATTTGTAAGATGTGGTTAACTCCGATGCCGGTGTCTGCACAGTGAGTGAAAAGCCTTAGTTTGTATTGTCTGACTTTTTTTTATGGCCCCAGCTTACTTTGTTCTATATACTCCAAGCTCAGTTATGTTCTGGCTTTATTTTTCCTTTGGCAGCAGCCTTAAAGCGAGCCTTTGTTCAGAGTCTTCAATTAAATTGGAATTTTAACTGTTCACAATTTCTTTCTCATCATAACAAAATGGATGTCTGATTATAAGAAAATTATGGAAGCCATTTGAATTGATAAAGTTGGCCACAATTTACCTCCTGGCCTACTTAAAGAAAATGACATTATGTAAATGCATTCTGGGATATATTGGCTTAAGTGCCGGAAGCAAAATTTTCCTCTGTTAAAGCAAAATGAATGCATAACATAGTTGAACTTCAAAAATGCAATAAAAACCTTTTACTAAAGTCCATGCGATCCACTCAATAAAAATAGTTGGCTTCTGCATTAGGGCAGCCTGGAAAATCAGTTTCCATAACACAGAATTGGGAGGATGTATTTTAACTTAGTTGCATGCAGTCCATAATGTTTAATGGTTGTGAAATTAACAGCTGATTCTTGATATTCCTCAATGTAATGCTCTGACATGATTTCAAATATATGGAGTCATACTGACAATTTGAAGATGATGAAGCTAGATTTTTCTTGTGTATTTTGCTTTTCTGTAAAATGGACGCAATTGGTTTAAAATGTGGATTTTAGAAAAGGAGGTGAAAGTGAACAGCACCCATTGCAAAAATAACTGAATTTGTTCCATAAGATTTTGATGCTCCGTATTGTACCATACCAAAAGCAGACAGTTATATTTTTATAAGTAGCCTGTTTCATAGTGTCTGGAGTAGCATAACCTTTAAATGTAGCCAGCTGTGACTGTTTCTGAAAATGTGATGTATATAAGACTTGTTATAGCCCTTTACTAGGTGTATGTGTAATAAAGTCTAATAATTTCATGGATACTGCTATACATGGGGCTACACAGGGTCTAGATTTAGAAATGTTACTTTTTAAAATCACCAGTATTTTACAAGTGCAAGTGAGGGGAGATATCTCCATGTAGTCTATAATCTCATGTGCCTTATGAAATTCTCTTCTGTTTTCTAAGTGTAGGCTATACGGCAAAACATGTTTCATGTGAGAATGATATAAATGAGGTATTTGAAAATAAATTCTGATCAGTGTATTTGTCTGCCTGTTTTACCAATAGTTTTATGCTGAAAGCCTCTCCGCTTCATAGCATTATGTCTTACATAACATTCAGCCAGTACAAGGCTACTTTAATGTCCCGGGGACATATATCCTAGACTAATGTCAAGTACATTGCTGGTGCTTAACAAATAATAAGCAAGATTTTTTAAAAATTAATTGAATTTAGAGATGGGACTGAGCAAGAACAGTGGATCCCTACCTCCCCGTTCTTCCTGCACCCAGTTCAAAACTCTGGAAGTTTTGGATGTTTGCTGTGAGCCACTGGTCTCAGATTATCTCTATAAGGAGCCTGACTGGAACACTGAATCCCAATATATCTATACTTTTACCTTTGATCCCTTTGCTACAGCGCAGGCTTCTCCCACCATGAATAACGATCCCACACATCTAGAAGAACAGAGCATAGACTGTATTCACTTTCTCATTTCACTTGTTTGTATACAGCTGATCAGCTGTAAGCTATTTTGGTAGTCTGTAACTAGTACTCTTTTCTTAACAATACTTAACCTTCATATGCTTTTCATCTTAAGAGCTTTTTACCAATATTAACTGATACTTTTAGGATCCTGTGCCTACTCAAATATGTTTTATCCCCTTTGTTTCCCCACCTGTCAAGAAAACAGAGTTGAAGTTCCTTGGCCAAGGCTGCAACAGGAGTCAGTAGAAGCTCTGTGTTTGCCATTTAATATTTGTGTTGAGGACCAATTAAAACTAGACGGTCCCTGACAGGTGTTTGTCTAACCTGTTCTTAAAAACCTTCAATGATGGGGATTCTATAGCTCCTTTGGAAGTCTATTCCAGAGCTTAACTACCCTTCTATTTTCTAATATCTAACCTAAATCTCCCTTTCTGCAGATTAAGCCCATTACTTCTTGTCCTACCTTCAGTGGATATAGAGAACAATTGATAACTGTCCTTTTTATAACAGCCCTTAACATATTTGAAGACTTAGCAGGTCCTTCCTGAGTTTTCTTTTCTCAAGATTAAAGAGACAGAGGTTTGGTTTTTTTAACCTTTTATCACAGGTCAGGTTTTTAAAACTTTTTATCATTTTTGTTGCTCCTGTTCAACAGTGCTACTGCCTAGCCAGTTATTCCCCATTTTGTAGTTGTGCATTTGATTTTTCCTTCATGAGTGTAATACTTTGCACTTGTCTTTATTGAATTTCTTCTTGATTTTTAGACCAATTCTCCAATTTGTTACGGTCATTTTGAATTCTAATCCTGTCCTCTAAAGTGCTAGCAACCCCTCTAAGATTGGTGTCATCTGCAAATGTTATGAACATATTCTCCACTCTATTATCCAAGTCATTAACGAAAATATTGACTAATACCAGACTCATGACGGACCCCTGTGGGACCCCTTTTCCCCTTAGATTTTCTTCCCATGGGACCTTACCCACCACTTCTCTGAGTTTGTTAAAGTCTTTTTTTATTTTGAAGTTCATTGTCCTTAGTCCGAGGCACTCACTTTGATCACTTTCACCCAAATTGCCTTCAATCTTCAGATTCGCTGCCAGTTCCTCCCTGTTGGTCAGAATTCAGTCTAAAATGGCTGCCCCACAGTTACTTCCGGAACAAGCCATACCCCTCTCTACCAATATTCCAGTCATGATATCCCACTAAGTCTCAATGCAAATTAAGTAATAATTTAGCTTATGTATTAAAACTTCCAATTTATCCTTATTCCCCCCCCCCCCATGCTCCTTGCATTTGTGTATGGACATTAAGGTGTTGAGCCGATTCCCCCACTGTTTTTCCTCTTGTTGGTCCTACAACCCTATTGCAATTTTAATGTCCCGCCAACATCTAGACCTGGGTTATTATAATCTTTTCTTATATTTACCTATTGGCTTTTGTCATCTGCCCCCTTTGAACCTAATTTAAAGCCCTCCTCATTAGGTTGGTGGGTTGGTGTGCAAAGATGCTTTTCCCCTTGGTCAGATGGCCCCCATTTCTTTCTAGCAGTCCTCCTTCCTGGAACAGTATCTCATGGTCGAGGAAGCCAAAGCTCTCCTGTCCAACCCATATGCACAGCTGTTGTGTTACAGAAGGGAAGAAATCTGCAATGAGAATGGGAGTGTCAGAAGTGCTGAGTATTGTGTTTCTCCCGCCCCACCATGAGTAATGCCAACGCTCACTGCTTTTGAAAATCCCACTTATGATTTAGGCACCTGTAGCTTTTTACCTTCTCTGCTCTTATCAGAGTCAGCCTGACCACTATTAGTTATTGCTTCATCTAAACTATTGGAATATTGATGTCCTAAGCTAGAGATCCTCATTCAGTTTACAAACTAGCATTACCCTACAAACTTACAGACCATTCACACCTTGTCACCATGTGAATGAAATTTTAAGCAGCCCAAGTAGTCCCACTGAAGTCAATGGTGGTGTACGGTTCTGGCCAATATCAGTAAGGGTATAATAGTCTGTATTATACTACTGATCATGTGCTGCAAGTTAAGATACAACTCAGACTTCCTCCCTTTTTCTCCGTAACCCCCTCTCTTAGGCTACGTCTACACTGGCCCTTTTGTCAGTAAAACTTTTGTCGGTCATGGGTGTGAACCCTCCTCCCCCAACCGACAAAAATTTTACTGATGAAAAGCGCCAGTGTGGACAGTGCTTTGTCGGCAGGAGATGCTCTCCCGTTGACAAAGCTACTGCCTCTCGCTGGGGGTGGTTTTATTTTGCCGGCAGGAGAGCTCTCCTGCTGGCAAAGAGTGTCTACACTGGAAACCTTACACCCGCACAGCTGTAGCAGCACAAGTCTTAGAGGGTTTTTATCTATGCAACTATTGCAAACCATCTAATTATACATACAGTGGGAAGCAGAGAGACAAATGATTAATAAGCTATTTTTCCCACAGCCAGAGTTTCTGCTGTTGAAAATAAAATATGTATATTCTCTCCTTCCTGTTCCTTTTATGAATATGATAGCAAATGAAGAATGCTAGAAGGAGTATTTACGTTAGCAATCTGCACAATGAAAATACAGGACAGTAGTCTGAACTGCCAGCAGGATTCATTTCTAGCAAGTACTTGCTGCTTAAGCGCATCTGCCACTGCCTATGCCTTTGAGGAATGGGTTTCACTTAGTTTGCACACGTAATCGGAAACATCTAAGTCTTTGAAATGAGATCAGGCCCTAGGTTGATGCTATGTTGTAATGTTGCCCCTGTGGAGGAAACCATTGTGCTATTTGCATACTGATTTTCAGAAAAAGCTTGTCTTATCCAAATACTCAGGATCTAACTACTTCTCCAAATTCCTTTGCACATGTAAATATTAATTGGATAAAAACAACTTCAGATTTTCAGACCAGTGGTTTGTACATCATGTAGCTATATAAGCTGCTTTTTTATATACCCAGACATCTGGACAACACCAAGCGTGGATTAAGTAGATCTGACTGTACTTTGCACAATGGTAACTTTGTACACGTGCATTCTGTTATGATCAAAAGGCCCCTTCAGCTGCCCTGCCTGAGATATTGGGTGAGGTGGCAGCTGAGACTGATAAGAACACATTGAAGTAAGTCCATTGTAAATAAGGTTTTCCAGTAATGCTAAAATCTGTCATTTTGTGATGGGTGGAAGTTCCTGGGGGGGGGGGGGGGGTTCATTATATCAAACCCAAGTGCTTAAAAAAAAAAAAAAGTTGTGACCTATCCTCCTGAGGGAGAAAATATACTTTTACCTATTTTTTTAGTGTGTTTATTTAGAGCATTGGATAGCACTTTAGGCTTACTTTAAAGCTGATTGGAGTCAATGGCGGAGCTTTAGCATTGATTTCAGTGTGCTTTTGGATCAGGCATAGTCAGTTCTGCCCCAAGCCTGGGCTTACATGTAACTTCACATATGCAAGTCGTCCTGTTGCACTCAACGGGACAACTCATGTGCATAAATGTTTGCATGAATGAGGCAGCACTCAATTTCTTCTGTTTGTGCTGGAAATGAGGAGGAAAAAAACAACCAGGAACATGTAATTGTAAAGTGAGGAAAATTTGGCAAGTGTAGGCCTAGAAAGTACTCACATAATAATAAATAAAAAATATTGACTAGACTTCAGGTTAATAGCAACTCCTTATAAACCAATATGGTCAATTTAAATATAGCACAGTGAAAAGAATGTAGGCCTAATAGGATTACGGTTGT